GAAGATTGGTTTGCTTACTTTTTGCGACCTCTTCCACTAGGCACCGAAACTACCACGTTTTCTTGCAGTTTTCTAAGTTCATACGAAGAGGAGACATTTGGAAGTGTATAAATAAGTATTATAGCGACTTTTGCAAGAGTAGTTAACATTTCATGCTATTTTTTTCAGAATATAGAAAAATTTTTCACTCTGCTGTTAGTGGACATGAAACCCACCAAAAACTAAAAATCTAAAAAAAATTTACATAGCGCACTTTGCAAGTGGACTACTCAATTGTTGAATAAGCTATCTTATTTGTCCCTTCTTTTTATACAATTAAGGAGCGGCTGAATGGTTTAACGATGTTAGCGGTACATAATGATGTGCCGATTACAACACAAGAAGTAATTGAAAAAATGTGTGTTAGGCAATGAAGATTAAAAATCGCTTTAAAAGTTATAAGATTTTGTAGACTTGTACATAAATAAATGTAAATAGATACGCGTAAATATATAAATATGCAGATATATTCAATGTGTAAAAACTGAAGTGTATACTAACGAAACTTCTACAAAACAAAACTGGACTACACACTAATTAATTAAAATGGTGTAGTAATTTAATTTTTTAAATTTAAATAAAGCATGAATTCCCCAGTAGACAAAAAATATATAACGGTAGAATGGCACATACATACATATATGAAAGAATGCCCACAGGCGACGCACTATAGGCAAAACACGAGTTTTTTTGTTTTTAAATCGTAGATTTTCGCTTAGAAAAGAGATAATGGAATGCAGCATTTAACCCTTTAATGCAGAGTCTGTCATATATGAAACACTTTTTAACCCTTTCAAGGCAGGGGAAAAAGGTACTCAATATGCTTTTGAACGTGCTTTTTCTCATGTTGACGTAGATATTAATCGTAGAAAATTTTTCCATAGTAAAATAATAATAAAAAAAATAAAATAAAAAAATAAAAATATTAAAAATAAAAATAAAAATAAATAAAAAGTACGTTGAAAACATATTGAGAACCATTTTGCCTCTGCCTTGAAAGGGTTGAAAAGCGTTTCATATATGACAGACTCTGCATTAAAGGGTTAAATGCTGCACTTTCGTAAAGATATCGAGTTTACGAGTTATTAGAGTTTAAAGGTAGCTTTTCTTTTTCCAATCTGGCCACTCGGGTACAGCATCCAATGTCCCAAGAATCGAGTCTTAAGATAAAATAAAGAGAAATCTTTCAGAAACAGTGCTAATGGTGTATTAAATATAGTGTTTTCTAGTGGAATGGGAGCCAAAATCCAAAATTAAAAAAAGTGAAATTTTTACCGTTATTTTGAGGGTTAAGTTATTGTTGTTGTAACTTCTCTATAGTTTTCCTATATTATATGATCATTTATCTTCACGATAAAAAAATTTTCATTCCATTATCTCTTTTCTAAGCGATTTTCTACCATTATGAAAAAACTCGTGTTTTGCCTATAGTGCGACGCCTCTAGCCATTGTGTATCACAACTTTAAGTTATCGATGCAAATTTTTTTTAATCGCCCCCCTTCGCCAAATCCTGGCTACGCCACTGATGGTCAGAGGCTCCATCTAAGGAAAATTGGTCTACGTGGCTAACTTTGCTAACATCGCTTACACCAAAGATATCTAACATGCTTGGCTTACAGTGAGGAGCAAAACGTGCTGCAAATTCGTTTGCGACAGTTAATCCACAATTGGTAAAGTTTTTTAGTAATTGCCTACATTTAACATTATCCAGGAGAAGATCGACATTAAAATCACCACAGACGAGGAAATTTACATAGCTCAAGGACAGTTCAGATATTTTTGTAAAAATAGTGGTAAAGTCATTAGACCTATGGGGATTATAGACACATATTACAAGACACCTTTGAACATTATCACTAAACTCTACAAAATCATTCCTTAACAGTGAAAAATCACAAAGAGCATAAGCAGAGTTAGCAATACAAGGTTTGAACCATGTCTCAGTTACACAGACCACATCCATATTTATTTCCCGTAACAAAAAGTTTAAATATTCAAGTTTATCAGTCGATAAACTTCGAGCATTAAAGTGGCAAATATTGAACCCATTATTATATTCGCACGTAAGTTTCAGATCTAGCATAATATTATCACAGTTAGTGTATCTACACAAGGTACTAGTCATATGGATCACAGTTTGGGAGGCTTGCGAAACAGTCAGCTGCAAAGTAGAAATAGAAGAAGAGGGAAGAAATGGAAATAAAAAGAGGATAGAATCTGTCATGGCTATTATAAAAATAAGTATAAAAACAAAAGTAAGTACAAAAACAAAAACAAATCGTACAAAGTTTCAATATTAACTAAAATAATAAAACATATGCTAAGTTTAAGTGGCAGCTGCTAGACGCTCGACGCTCTTACGATTAAGAACTTTTACTCCTTCACTGCCGGCATGTTTTTTGCGTAAATTTGTCCCCGTATTGAGAATACACTCACCAGCCGCTTTTGTCTTTTTAGCTGAGTAGCCAGTCGCATAAGCTCACGGTTCTTTTTTGTCAAGCATTCATGAACAAATATCTTTTCATCAGAATCAATTCCAATATTGCGGCGAGTTAATGCCTGTCGTCTAGATTTGAGAAATCGAGCAACTGCTACGAACAAACGAGAGCGATCATAAGCAGAATTTAGTTTTACAATGATTGGAGAGGGGTTTGTTTTGTTGGCGCTTTTGCTACTGGGACGCATACGAAATTTAATACTATTTTTGTAAACCCAACTGTACATGCATACGTAATACCTTTGTTTTGTTTTAAACTAATGAACTGTTATTTTGATAAAACTATATGTATTTAAAAGTCTATTAGTTATTTTTTGTTAAAATTTTTCGCTGTTATTTGGTTGATATATTGTTAATAAACTAAAAAGACGCTTTAAAATGAGCTGATTTTTATGGCTTTGTACTGATTTTTGATCCCAACTGTACTGATTATTTGGCTACCCTTGTACACACAGTGGTCGAAATAATTATAGCCGCACCACATTTTGACAGGTTTTAACATATTATTTTTTTTTGTTATTTAATTCTGGTTATTTTTTTATAAAAATATAGTTCGTTCTTTAACAAACCCCGTGTAAAAAAAATTCTAAAAAATCAACCGTTATTTTTAGCCACTTGAAACTTGCACCTTGTTCTACTAGAATTCAATGGGCTACAAAACTGCGAATTAAAAAAGTTAGAAATTTTGACGAAAGTTTGTTGATTTTTTTTTTAAAATAGTGCACAAAGTTTGAAACTTGGATTTACAGGAGATTTGTTAAATAATGAACTATATATTTATAAAAAAATAATCAAAATTAATATGTTAAAACTTGTCAAAAGATTGGGCGGCTATAATTATTTCGACCATGTATGTGTTAACACAATTCTCTCTCTATCTCTCTCTCTATCTCTATCTCTATCTCTCTCTCTATCTCTATCTCTCTCTCTATCTCTCTCTCTATCTCTCTCTCTATCTCTCTCTCTATCTCTATCTCTCTCTCTCTCTCTCTCTCTCTCTCTCTCTCTCTCTCTCTCCCTCTCTCTCTACTCTTACTCTGGGCATGATGATAACAGTGTGAACAGCCCATTGCTCTCTATAAACTACTTTTGAATACGTTTTCATTTGATTTAAAAACGTTTTTATTTGATTTAAATACGTTTTTATTTGACAAATTCAAATATGCACGTATTAACTACTTCCATTATAAAACTATTTTTTAATACGTGGTTATTTAAATTGCGTAGTACTTAATATAGATTATTTATTTTACTATGCGTTATTTCCTTCAGTGTAATAAGTTACAAAATAACTTTTTTTCTCGAAACTTTTATTATAAAAGTCATAACCGGTTGGTTCCCTGGTTTGGATACTGTTCTATTGCGGTAAGGTAAACTGTTTGTATATGCAGAGCTGCGAAACGTTAGATGTGTACACGTCTTCTCCAGACAAAATTATCCAGCAGAAAAAATTTTGAAAATTTAGCAGCATTGGCTCTCAAACAGACAAAATATCCATAGAAGTACGAGAACGCAAAATTTGAAAAAAACTTGCAACCTTCGAAACAGCTGATCACTTTCACAGTTGCCACAGGTGGTTCATTTAGCAATTTATTTTCTGCTTAGTACATTTCCCCCGATATGAAATTTTTTACACTTAAATACTTTTGGATAAGAAAAACCGTTGTAACATACATCTTTATAAATTAATTATATGTATCAGAAATAATAAGTTATTTTTCTCAAACTTTGGCTGATACAAACAACCAGTATGTGAACAAGGGTATAATACCCTTGTGCACAAGTGCGCTCGGGTATAAAATGAGTAGACAGAGTTGCATTTCAACACCAACTTTCATTGCCTCTAATATAAACATTATATTTGAAAACTCCCCAAAGTTATAAAAAAAAACAATTATAATTTTTTCGAGTGACAATGAAAATAATAGTAGTTTCGGTACTCTTTCGCCTAAATAAATGTTTTAAGGCTAACATTGTTCAAATACATATATCCAGACTCGACCCCGACATACCAAACATATGTCCCGCTTCCCCCTCGACACCCTCCACCTCCTCATGTGCTCACTTAAACCCTCTTAGGTAACATCCCTCTCCCTGTGGTCCGACTCCGTCGAAGCAGCACGTATTAGCACCGATAGTTAATATTTACGGCAACGATTTATAGACTAGCCAGGGCTTAGTAGTGCCGCAACAACAACAGTGAAAAACTCAGTGTCTATTGAAAAGGAGGGGATGCGAGTAATATTCAACAATTTCTGGTTAACTTTTAGCAAAAACTATAAAATTCTTCAAATTATTCTATTTTTGAAATGGAAATAAAGAAATGATTTAAAAAAACGCCAAAAAGGCACTCTATACCCATGGTGGAATTGCATCATGCTCTATACCGATGTGTTTTGACCAGATCTTTTCTTCATATAACTTGTTCACAATTTTATCACTGTTTCTTTTTTTTTTGTTACAGGTAATATCATGTGAGCCTGCTGGAGTTGACATGAAAGGAAACAAAATTTGTGATATGGACAAAAAGCAACTTAGGATTTCTGACAAGCAGCGTATAAGTGTTTGGGATATATTGGAAGGCCATAAGAATCCAGCACCCTTATCATGGGTTTGGTTTGGTGCGGTTAAGTCAGAAAGGAAATCTCTTGCATATGAAGAAACACATCGCAATCTGAAATATCATGCTCATAGTTTAGTTAAACCCATTGATTATTTTTATGAATCGTTGTCTCTGCCACCTGAAGACATAGAGCCCGTTTCGGAAAAAATCAGCATTGTAATGAAAACTATTTTTTTTATTTTAATTTATTTTAACACATCGTAACCGTTTTAGAAAGATGAAATGAAACCGGATACCCCGTCATCAGTAGATCAATCACCTAGTGCTGTGACTTCCGGAAGAACCCGTGGAAAAGGAACAACGCGCAAACGTAAACCAAAGAATTCAAAAACTTCCCCCACAAACGTTTCAACGCCATCTCAGATAACTCTGCAACCACAAATATCTCAAGTTCAGTCTCAAAACGTGCAGCAGATGCATCCTCAAAGTCAAATTAATCAAATGCAAATGAATGCACAGGTTTGACATTTTCTGGTTAAACTATTAATACATACATCATTTTAGAAAGTATCTCATTGAATCTTAATTCGATAATTTGATAGATTTCATACATGGTGGAATAATAACAAGGTGTTGTCAGTAGCGACGTGTTTGTTGTAATTTTAACAAGATCGGCATGCTTATTTTCAGTGCTGCCGATCTTAATTTTTATACTACTACTCGTTGGGAAATAGTATCTAAAATACTCCATTTTAGTATTTCGTTTTATCGCGATTTTTAAAGAACTTGGTGTTTTCAGAACGATAATAATGTTTATAATTGCTGGATTTTTATAATTTCTGTCCTCAAAATATAAAAGATATTGGTTATCAATGGAAAAAGACCTAAACAAATATCGTATGGAAAGGCAATTTTTTTTATATTATATATCTTTTGCTGCATTGTCATAATATTGAGTCAAATGGACTACTGATACACTAGAATAGAGCGGCAGTATGGTTAAATTACGATTTCTCTTATATTATCGATATTTTTGTGTTTTAATCTATTTAAAAAATCATTTACAGTCTTATAGGAATTGCGCTATTTTACAGCTTCTCCTTCTTTATAAGTTACAATATATGTCCAAGCTGTGTATAGCTGACGATACAAACATATATTCAGGCTTATAAGCCTGTAATTATACATTTTTCTACATTTAATTTGAAATAGTATGCACAAAAGGGATTAAAAGTAGTACATAATTAGTATCTTTTCTAATACTTTAAAATGCGTGACTGGAATAGACCTGCCGAAAAAGTGAGGTTAAGCTACTGACAACACCTTGTTATTATTACACCATGGATTTCATATATGTAACCAGTGTTACGGCTGAAAATCTTTCGAAAGTCGCAGAAAAAGTGCCACAGCCAAAAAAAAAAATCAAGTCATTCAAATCATTTATACCATGCATGTAAAGGCTTTCACTATTAAAGGGTGAACACACCAAAACTGCGACACTTTGGGAAGCTTATAACTTACCCAAAATAAATGATCCGGCCTTAAGTACACGGTAAATTGCTAAAAAATTAAAGAGTCCACTATTCGACAGTTTGCAGGGTTTTAATCGGTACAAATAAGGCCTGACAGTTACGAGAAAACCAGGGATCGGGGGTTAGCATGGTCAAAGTGATAAAAACAGTGCTCGGAAGGTCCTCAGTGCGTTTTCGCGAGATCCGAAGATTTTGTCGCGTTATGTTGCAAAATCCGTACGGAGATCGCAGTTTTTCGTACAAAAGGTAAAGCGGAAAGCTTCATTGAGATGTTCTACAGCTCAAACAGCGCCAGACCGAGGCGCAAAGTAGAATGTTACAGCGAAATCCCGCATTCGGAAGTTGTATGAATTCTAAATTAAAAAAATACAACTGCATTGTTATGGACTGCGAAACCTACTGCTATAAGAATTCAAAATATATTGCAGGTCAAGATTTTTATACTGCTGCAAGTCGTCAAGATGCCCCTGAAAGTTGTATGCTGAAAATGAAGTCCAAATTTACAAAAACCACATGGTTTGGCAAACTATTTGTTCCTGCGGCCGTAAGAGCAGCCCTTTTTTCCCATCCGGGACAATGAATGATCAAGTTTATCGGGATGAGTGCCTCAAAAGGCGTCTTCTGTCATTTATCAACAGATAAGGAGTAGGCCATCGTTCTAGGCGGACATGGCAAGCTGCCACTATGCCAAGGACACATCGCCGTGGTATAATGCAAATAACATCAATTTTGTACCTCACGACTGCAATCCACCCAGATCCACGTCCTATTGGGGAATATTGGTCAATTGTCAAAGGAATCTTGAAGAAAACAGGTGCAAGAGTGAAAATTATTGAAGAGTGCAAAACAAAGTAGTTGTGCGCATCGCGTAATGTCGATGATGCAGTCGTGCAGAACATGATGGCGCGTGTGCGATGAAAATACCGATCACTTGCATATGGAGCAAATAATAACTAATATTTTAATATTTTAATAACATCTAAACTTCCAAGTTATATAATACAAAAAAAAAAATAATTTCAAAGCCTTCTAGTTTGTTTCTGGTAGTAATTTCTAAGTGTCGCAGTTTTGGTGTGTTCACCCTTTAACCGACTTCACAAAAAGGAGGAAGGTTATCAAGTCGTCGGAATATTTCTGTTTATGTATGTTACCGCATACCTTTGGACTACGTTAACCGATTTCTATGATTCTTTTTTTAAAGGAAAGGTGTTACATACCTTACAGGTGGTCCCATATTAATATTGTTTAAATCCGATCATCGGATCATGAAGAAATCAACGATAATCTTAAATTTGTATATGAGAATTGAAGTCGGTTTTGTTTTTTGCTTAAAAATTACTTGTTTTACCTTTCGAATCTTATTAGGGCACATTCATAGTCGAAATAAAATTGACTCTAACGTTAGTTTTGGCATTTTTCAACGGAAAATCTGTCAAAAAAGCTGCGTAAAGTAGACTTTAGTTCATCTATGACTAGCCCCATTATTTTTAATAAGTTGTTAATGGAGATATCATTTTCTGTCAAACATTTTATATCATAATAAAAAGACGCAATATGCATATTTTGCATTTATTATGATAACAAAATTGAAGTAAACAAAGTACCTACATCATCAAATAAATAATAAATTTAACACAAATAAATTGGAGGAAATGCTAAGCTACAAAAACGGTGCATTAATTCATGCTACTTCTGGACATTTATTCGGAAAATGTTTGACAAAAAAAGTTGATAAAAAAGTTGAAATCAGTCAAAATGTTGCCAGAGGTGTAATTTTTAAGTGCCTTTGAAAAGTAAATACTAAAAGCGTTATTAATATTAAACACGCAAGAAAAATATAATTTATGAAGGAATTGCCAAAATGTGTATATAGAATTTTGAATCAAAGAAAAGGAGCAAAAGTCGCACGATTTTTAGGAAAGTTTCAAAATAAGCCTATTTTTAAAAAGTCGGTGTCAGAGGGCATCGATCTCCAAAAAGTGTCAATTTGACACTTAAGTCGCACAACGGTAACACTGTATGTAACTTCTTTTAAAATTTTTCAAGTTTACTTGGAATTGAATCCAAAACTTCAGGTCCTTTCGCGTTGCTTTCGATTTCGCCTCGTTTTGACAGTAACGCGGGTAATGCTAGTGCTTGCAATGAAAACTATGTCAATTTGACACTTAAGTCGCACAACGGTAATACTGTATGTAACTTCTTTTAAAATATTTCAAGTTTTCCAATTGAGCTATTTAAATAATTTGGTAAATACTTGGAACTGAATCCAAAACTTCAGGTCCTTTCGCGTTGCGTTCGCTTTCGCCTCGTTTTAACAGCAACGCGGGTAATGCTAGTGCTTGATACACTGCACGCTTTACAGCGAATGCTTTGGTCACTAAATTAACATACTAACGACAGATAAATTAATATTTCATATCAATAATTGCATCAAAAACTATATTTCTTGACCGTATTTGATTAAAAAGGAAAAATATTTCACATAATTTTAATTATTTGCAGTAGATGTCGAACGACTCACGCAAAAATTTGAGTGTCCTTGCTTTGTGTTGGCGTTAGCGTTGCCAAATTTTGGCTATGTGGACGGCTGTATTTGAATTCATTTTCTCATTAGAGTTGCCAACCGTACTATAATATATAGTATTGTACTATACTATGTGTCCTAAAGGGATGCTCTAGCTTTTGGTTGTATTAACGACTTCCGGTTTCGACCTCATATGCATCTTGCTGATTGAAAAGAAACTTTCATATAAATACATACAAACATTTATAAAAATTAATATACATACATACATATTGGGTGCATTCCAAAACGCCAAATACAAAGCATCAGTCTCTTTTATTTCTAAATCTCAGTAGATTATAATGCCAAATATGTGCAACCAAGGTTTGATTCTAGTTTTCAACAAGGTTGCCCAAGCTAGACGTTTTCTTCTAGTACGGTTTAGAAATAAAAGACCTGACGTTTTGTATTTTGACGTTTTGGAATGAACCCATTAATATATATTTGAGATTTTCTTTTATATCAGTAAGATATATATAAAATTGAAGTGTGTATAAAATTGTTAATGACAAAACCGAAAAGTACACAACGTTGCAGACGCCATGTAAGGAAAACTGAATTATTGCGAAATATAAATAAAGTGGCAGCACTATACGTAAGGTGACCAGATTTCTGTGGACCAAAATCGGGACACTTCTAAAGCATCGAATCCGAACATACAATTTTGTTTTTTAGAATAAAAAGACATAAGATCTTTTAATACAATTTTATTTGAGACAAAACAAAGAGAAAAAAACTTGAATAGGGTTCTCAAAAATATATACACACAATATATACGTTTTAGCAAGTTTTCGCTACTTTTCTATGCTTTAAATATGTTGATGACCCTTTTATGAAAATATAGCTTACTAATATCTAAAAAAAACTGTAAATCAATATTTTAAACTTTGTAGAAAAATTCGATGAATTTTGACAAATGTTGATCAAAGGTTTAAACTTTTTAATCAGATGTTTAGATTTTTTTGAGCATGTAATTTTGTAGCCCATCAAATTTTAGTACTACAAAGTGCAAGTTCGAAGTAGCTTGGACTTACCGTTGATTTTTGGCAATTTTTGTTCGCGCATTTTCTTCCATACAAATTCCAGACAATTTTTTTTTGTATGGGGAAAATGGCCAACACCTTCCACAAAAAATTTTACCAAATTTGCACTTCGTTTTACTAGAATGGAATGGGCTACAAAATCGCATACTCAGAAAGTTTCTAAGAAATATATTGAAAAAGCTCAAAATTTTGATAAAATGTTGTCGAATTTCGCTAATTTTTGCACAAAGTTTGATTTGAATGGTTTTTGTTATATAACGAGCTACACTTTCATAAACAAATACTAAACATTAAATATTCAAAAGGGGAATGGCCGAGGAATGCTAAAATGTCTCTTCCCTACTTATATTTTAGCCATTGTATCAACAGCTTATATTTTTT